CGCCCATTTTTGCAGGCCAAGCTCCCTTTTGGGTTTTTGGGTGCTGGGGGCCGTGAGTTTTTCCCCCTTTTTTCGGCGATGAGTTTTGGTGTGCAAGGATCCTGTTTTCCCTTGCTGAGTCCCCAAAGGGTTGCCCGGGAAGAATTTTTTTTTTTTTAAACTCGTCGGGTGCTAGGGAGGGGGATAAAAAAACTGGTAGGGCAATCTGGGGGAAATTTTTTTCTCACACCCCAACAAACCTGACTAGAAGTGAGGCTTCCAACCTCTGTCTATTTTTAAGAGAAAGATTTTAAACACACAACATGGTCTTTTTTAAATAAGAGTGATATTTTCCCTTTAGTATCGGAAATGCTTAAGGTTAGGGAACCTCTCAAAAAGAGGGAAGTTTAAAATATATGTCGTCCCAATTTGGTAAAAAATTTGGGCAATTAGCAAGAACTCATTTAAAAATAAGGGTTTTCCCCCAAAATTTTTTCCCCATAACGTTTAAAAAAATATATTTTTTTTTGTTTATGTTAATGTAAATTTTTTTAATTTTTGTACCAAAAGAACCTTAGAAAAAATTACATAAAAACCCTTTTTAAAAACAAGCACAATTTAATTCAGCCTAACCAAAAATATAGTTTTTGATAAAATTTACAAAATTTAAATTTTAAAAATAAGCAAACAAAAATGAAATATATTTTTTTTTCGTTAAGTTTTAAAGATTTTTTGGGGAAATTATTGCATATACAAATTTTCGCTTTCCTTAAATTTTTCGTTTTCAATTTTGGGCAAAATTTGCAATTTTACCTAATTCCGGGACGACATTATATATATATATATATATATATATATATATATATATATATTTTTATATATATTTTTTCAATAATATATATATATATATATATATATATAATATAAAAAATATATTAACAAATCGGCCGTCTCCCATCGGGCAGGGTGACCCCAAAAAAAAAGAAAATCCCCCCAAAAAAAAAATAAATTTCATCATCAAATTTAACACTTTTCCCCCACTCACACATAATCAAATGTTTTTGCAGAGGTGCTCAGAACACAACAAAATTTAAGAAGCATATACTAAAAAAAGATACAAACATATCCCTTTCCCAAAATGCCAATATTTCCCCAACCCCTCCTTTAAAGTGCAGGCATTGTACTTCCATTTCAGGACCAAGTCCAAAATTTATGAAAATAACCTTTTTCCCGAATCCCTTCACTAAATTTACCCTGCTCACACTCAAAGATCGTCAGGTCCCAAATACCATTCGTCTCCATTCACTCCTATCAAAACACACTCATATATTTATATATATAATATATATTATATATATATATATATATATATATATAATATATATTTAATATATTATTTATTATATATATATATATATATATATATATATATATATTATATATATATATATTATATATATATATATAACCTTATTATAACAAGAACAATTTATTTTAGCCTAACCCAACTAAATACTTTTTAGATTTGTTTCAATAATTTAATACTAAGCAAACACAGTGAAATATATTTTTTTCGTTAGGTTCAGAATGATTTTGGCGAAATTATTGCATACACAAATTTTCACTTGTCTATATGGTAAGATGAACGTTGCTATTTAGCCAAGATCGCAAATTCTGCCTATTCGGCACGATATATAATATATAATATATATATAAAAATAATATATATATATATATATATATATATAACTTATATATATTTTATATATATATATATTTTATATAATAAAATATTATATATATATATATATATAAAATATAATATAACATATATATATTATAATATATTATATATTATATAATATATATATATATTATATATTTTATATATATATATATATATGTTAAAAGCAGGGGGGGGTATAGTGTTGGAGTGGTTGGTACTTTTGTTTAATAAATTTTATAAAAAGGGGGGAAAGGTACCTAGGGATTGGCAGACAGCATGTATAGTCCCTTTATATAAAGGGAAAGGGGACAAAGAGACTGCAAAAATTAAGAGGAATAAGTTTACTGAGTATACAGGAAAAGTGTACGGTAGGGTTATAATTGAAAGAATTAGAGGTAAGACAGAATGTAGGATTGCGGATGAGCAGGGAGGTTTCAGAGTCGGTAGGGGATGTGTAGATCAAGGTTTACATTTAAGCATATATGTGAACAGTATTTAGATAAAGGTAGGGAAGTTTTTATTGCATTTATGGATTTAGAAAAGGCATATGATAGAGTGGATAGAGAGCAATGTGGCAGATGTTGCAAGTATATGGAATAGGTGGTAAGTTATTAAATGCTGTAAAGAGTTTTTATGAGGATAGTGAGGCTCAGGTTAGGGTGTGTAGAAGAGAGGGAGACTACTTCCCGGTAAAAGTAGGTCTTAGACAGGGATGTGTAATGTCACCATGGTTGTTTAATATATTTATAGATGGGGTTGCAAAGGAAGTAAATGCTAGGGTGTTCGGGAGAGGGGTGGGATTAAATTTTGGGGAATCAAATTCAAAATGGGAATTGACCCAGTTACTTTTTGCTGATGATACTGTGCTTATGGGAGATTCTAAAGAAAAATTGCAAAGGTTAGTGGATGAGTTTGGGAATGTGTGTAAAGGTAGAAAGTTGAAAGTGAACATAGAAAAGATATTGGCAGTTTGGAGGGATATGTTGTGTATCTTTATACGTATATGCTTCTAAACTGTTGTATTCTGAGCACCTCTGCAAAAACAGTGATAATGTGTGAGTGTGGTGAAAGTGTTGAATGATGATGAAAGTATTTTCTTTTTGGGGATTTTCTTTCTTTTTTGGGTCACCCTGCCTCGGTGGGAGACGGCCGATTGTTGTGTATATATATATATATATATATTTTTATATATATATATATATATATATATATATATATATATTTTATATATATATTATATATATAATATATATATATATATATATATAATAAATATATATATATCTATATATATATATATATATATATTATATAAATATATATTATATATATATATATATATATATATATAATATATATAATATAATATTAGCCAGATGCATAGATACTCAGGTCCAGGTCGCCTCATCCCACCCACCGTCTCTAGCATTCTCTACCATAATTGCGTCTAAGATTACCTTCTCCGCTAAGCAAAATTCATGGCGGTACTGTGGTTCTCAAGTGAGCAGCAATTATTTGACAAGCGGCTGCCGTTTATGCAAAATACAGCGACAACCGGATAACACACGGCCGGTTAAAGATATGAAACGACGTCAATCCGGCCAGATTTGGAGGAAGGGAGGCGGTGTTATGCAGTGTGGCTGGCTGCAAGGTGCGCCATTAGGGGAAGATATGAGCAGGGTATAGGCAGACGATGGTGTTGTGGCGGTGCTGGGAAGGTGCTGATGCTAGCCTTGCTACTACAGTTGTTGTTATTGTTGCTTCTGCTGGTGCTCAGATTATTGTTGTTACTATTGCTGCTGCTTCTGCTGTTGCTTCCGCTGATGCTCAGGTTGCTGTTACTTTTGTTACTGTTGCTGCTACTTCTGTCGTTGCCTCTGCTGGTGCTCAGGCTGGTGTTCAGGTTATCCTCGCTACTACTATTGCTGTTGCTGTTCCTTCCACCATTGCTGCTGTTGATGCTCAGGTTGTTGCTGCTGTTGTTACTGTTGCTTCTACTTCCGTGGTTGCTTCTGCCGCTGCTTATGCAGGTGCTCCTGCATAAACAGCGGCAAGAAGCGCCATCCTTCCGATGGCGCTTCTTGCCGCAGTTGTTTCTGCAGTGAGAAGCTTTATGGATCCTAACACGGATAATAATCTTTTAGACAAAAGTTTGGAGACACTGAAGCTTCCAGACCTTTTGCGGGATTGTGTCGGCTGTGGCAATTAATGCAGCTTCCAGCAACTTTCGCCTCTGTCGGTCGTTCTCAGGGATTACGTTTCCTCCAGTAAATATCCTGAAGTGTACACAAGTGTTCCATTTCACAATGGAAAGTGGAGTAGTAATAATAGTGGTTGGGTGGGGTAGTAGTGATGACAGCCTTAACACCAGCACCACCACAACACCATCGTGGAGGTAGTAGTGATAATAGTGGCTGGTGGGGTAGCAAGTTTAGTTGTGATTGAAGCAGCAAAGATGTTTATGTTACAAATAAAGAAAAATATTGCTATAATCATGAGGAAGGATTAAACGTGTTAGCATCGTACAATGTCTGGGAAAATGCTGGTAATCAGGTTTGATCCATGGAAGGGGAAGGTAGCTCCATATATGGGAGTTACCCTCTGTTCTTTCTGCATCCTCTTTTTCTACGCTGATCTCACAAAGATGTTGGATTATGTAATACACAAGTTTTCAGGAATTCATTACTAGTATAGTATACATATGTATGTATGTGTGTGTGTGTGTGTGTGTGTGTGTGTGTGTGTGTGTGTGTGTGTGTACGTGTGTCAAAACTTACAATACAAATATCTCAACCAGCTCCTCAGAGCTGGGGCGCGTACTTACGATACAATAGGTATCACTTTTCTGAACTGCAACACTGAGATGCTGCACATAAAAGTAGCAGTCTTGGATCCTTAGTTGTCTTGATGAGTTTTTTGCCTAGCTCCATGAGCCGAGGATTTCTGAACCTGTAGCAACAAGCATGTAATGATGGGCAAGTTCACCATATTTTTAGTCTTTAGGTACATCCTGAAACTGGTAGCTGTCATCCACTGGTAATAATAATATTATGATAATGAATAGTTATCTTTCAAAACAGGCAGATTTATTCTAGGAGGAAAAAAAGGAAGAATTACCCATGTTGCATATCGCCAGTAAAGACTAGTTATTTATTCTTTTGGTGTCGTCATCTTCGTGGCCTGGTCTCAGGCCAGACCAGACCTTATTGACGGCCTGGCTAGTCAAACTGTTTATACTTTCTTTATGAGAACTCGAGTGTTAGGAGGTAACAAGTGTGTGTTCTCTTTCCAACAG